AGTGATATTTGTGTTGATCTTCATAATTAAAAGTCGGCACATGAACTGGTGATGAAAATACAGTTTACAATTTTTGCTAGTTTACTACCAAAGTCAGCTGAAAATATACGATCTCTTCCAATAGTTCCGTAGAGAAGGAAATGGCCAATCTGTGACCTTTGTGATATAAAAATAACCTTCTACGAACCTCTCTTTCCGGTAAAAGAAAAGGCATTAGGAGCCCGAAAAGATTGTGTGTGCGATTGAGGTCAACACAGTATATGAGGAATGCAAAACACGCTGGTTGGGGGGGGGGGGGGGTTTATAAACCTATCTAAGTAACTATGACCTTTCAGATAAAGCCGTATAGCGTGGATATATAACGGGAAAACAACTCTAAAATGTAACTTTTTTGGGGGGTTTAAGACTATGGTTACCATGGTAACGGCTGCCATATTAAAAATAAACAACTTTCATAAAGTAAAAAGGATTGCTTATTTACCAACGTTCAAATTTGGTAAATTGATAGATATACTCAATACAAAATGTTCATACTGTTGGATTTTGGATATCTTGAATAGGACAAAAGTTAGAGATGGATAACTGACCTACCCATTCATGCCTTTGAATTCATCCATGTAACTCGTTTATGAATGAATCAATTTGATTTTTCACCGCACGAAGTTGGGTTATAGTGTGAATAACAAGCCCTGAAAATTTCATTTGGATAAAATAGAAAATAAAAGGTAGATGAGAAAAACTGTAAAAAAAATTGAAGCTTTAAGAAAAAAAACGATATAATAATAATAACAATAGATAGATAGCATTTGTATAGCGCATATCCCCGCTCAGCAGCAAGCTCTATGCGCTTTACACTATATTATTACCCCAGCAGACCATAGAACACTCCAAAACATTCTCAGCTTCCCGGGAAGCATACAGTGCGAGCAGCCGATTAAGCGCTCAAACACTAACAAACTGACAAGATCTTTCGCCGTCTATAGCCGGGTACCCATTCCCACCTGGGTGAAGTGAGGAAAATTCGTGTAAAGTGCCTTTCCCAAGGACACAACGTCGGGCCCTTGACGGGATTCGAACCCACGACCTTACGGTTGCGAGTCCGAGAGCCTAACCACTAGGCCACCGACGCCACAACGATATTGTGTTACATAATGGGCAAAATAAAATTCTAGGGCAAAAATTCTGAACGATGATGATTGTAACACAAGGAGTAAGCAATCTTTAGATGTACAAGTGATTGGAGTATTATAATACGTAAAAAGTCCAGATACCATAAATTGAACCAATATCGTCATTTTAAAACCACCCCCCCCCCCCCCCCCTCTCTCTCTCTCTCTCTCTCTCTCTCTCTCTCTCTCTCTCTCCCCCCCTCCCATTAATCAGTTTCACCTTGTGAGGAGTTGTGTTGGAAGATACAGCCTCAGTCTAAACGTCTGGCCACATCATAGATTAGAAACATCCAGCCCAGATGATAAAATATTGGAAGCAGAATACATGTCCGATTTGAGGAATTACAATGATCATCATTTTCTTTGATGAATAATAGCTTCAGACTTTGACGTTTGCAGGCGACAAACTCATGTGTAGTCTTTCATTTTTTCTGTCTGACATGAAGTACACTGCTCCAACAGTGCACCTGCTTTTGACACATTGGTATTTGGCCATAATTAGTCAGCCCAAACGTCCCTCGAAATGCAGATGTTGAAGATCTCACAACTGAAGACTCCAGGGGAAAAACCAGATAAGTCACATTTTAATTAAGAAAGTGGAGAAGATGGAAATAAAGGACCTCGGAGTTTAAAGTCCATCCCTGAAAAGACCAAGCAAAAAGCGACATTCGTATAAAATATATTTCCCAATGACAAAATGCCGGACCGGGCTGAGGCTCGATCCCCCCAACCAGTAATCTCATGATTACGGGTCAGTAGCCTGACCACTAAGCCATCGACGCAACTAGTAGAATCTGTATGATGTGGTAAGGTAAAAATTGTACAAGGTGATCCCAAAAAAAAGCCATACAACTTTTTTGTAAATATTTTCCTCTACAAGGAAGTTTTGCGTTTCAAATTTGTACACAACATTTGGAGGTCAAAATGAATTTGTCTGATATTCATTTTAGATATCTCCACAGAAAAGTTAAGCTCTACATAGCGAGTAAAAAAAGGAATGTATGTTCAGCTATGTCCCCATTTTAGTAGCATGACGCACTTGTTCCCATTAGGCCTACCGTTAAAAGACTCAAAGATCGCGCCATATTGCAAGCTACAGTTTTATTAACAGGCCAACAGAAGTTTGCAGATAGTTTTTCTTAAGTTTCCTTTGCCTGCTGAGATCATTGTTAAGATTAGCAACGAGCAGAGAACTTTTGTATTAAACATTTCCACACCGTCAACTCATTTCGTAAGTTTCGTACTCGCACATTGTACGGTAACAATGCCAAAGTGCCCTTAATGCCTGTTTTGATATGAAGGGCAGAAATGTCCATCAGTTAGGACCCGTAGAATTTCAGAACAAAATATCCCCAGACAAAACGACCACTTCAGATTTTAAAAAACATACCGTTCGCACCCCTTTAAACGTCTCCAAGGTGCAGAATTTGGAAGATGAGCCCCATGAAAAGTTTGCCCGTAGACGATGTCTGCTGCACGGACTTTCCTACATCTCAACGGTCCGCATTCTCAAGGCAGATATTCATCTACGACTGTGCCATTTTCCTGTTCGCGCGCGAAGCTGACATGAATCAGAGGATAGTAACATGTTCATGAGCCCTTGATTTATTTGAAAAACCTGTACATTTCTCTTTGATATGATTCTTTGGCAAATCTCACATTCACATTTCAGGATGTTAACTCCACAAATGCCTATTTGAGTAACCTCACCCACCACCCTTCTATCTCAAGAAGCAACTCTATACTGTAACGTGTACACTTTGTGTAGCTTTGAGTACTCATAAATGGGCGGATCCTTGTGTTTTGGCCACCACTGAACATTATGAACGACGCGTTAAAATGAGATGAGCCCATTGGAGGACATTTAAGAGCACGTTCTCGGAATTACAGATTTTTTAAGTTTCTAAACTCTGTGAGAGAAAGGAAATATTTTTATTTAAATGTTACAGGGATGGAAAGATTAGATTCTTTTTAAGAAAGGAAAGGGGGGGGGGGGCAATCATTTC